TCATTTCTTGTATTGTTGTTTTTTTACATTCTTTACTGAATTTTCTTTTTTAAAAATCTTCTGAATAAATTTTCTTGGTACTTATATACCTGTGTTTAGAAGACAACTTACAGGTCAAGGAACATTGTGACTTGGTTGGAAACTAGTTTGTCAGAGTGAGTGAAGTGAAATGCAAATGGTGTCTTCAGGGACCACCTACTGGCTAGGCCCATTGTGCTTTACATCGTGGAAATAAATTAGAAGTATCTGAGTCTTTTCCTGACCACCAAGAGTGAAGTTCTTCATACACTGCAAGTTAGTGGGATACTGAAATTCCCATCGATGGGTGTTTTACCCATGAAGCTCTCCCACGCCTGTACATAGCAAGTAGTTGCATACCTGAATCTGCCAGTTCCTCATTGTATGTTCAGAAGAAATGTTTCCTTAGAAATACTAATATAGAATCAAAGTTGCAGGGAACAAGCCAGTTACACTTTCAAAAGCAATTTGTCTTTTCTGTAGCCAGTCCCTGCCTTCAGTTCTTTGCAATAATAACCACAAAATGTCATTTTATAAAAAGAAATGCATTGTAATTACAAAGGTGTTTGGAGATATAACATCCCTGCTGATGGTAACTATTTGACCTAATTACAAGGTCCTAGTAGAGCACTCTACCTGCTATCGCCTCACAAGACACCATCGAAATATTCAGCAAACCTGTTAGGATCTCTGGGCCTGTTTGTTGCTTTATCACTAATAGAAATTTGAGGGAATATGACAGACTGTAAACTTACTCTTTTTAAGTGTGAAAATGTGCCAAATAGATATTTATGTGTTATTTGCTACTGAAATTGTTGACTCACAGATAGTATTTAGAGGTGGCAGGGACTTTGGAGATCATGTCCAAATTCTGTTTAATGTATCAAGGAAACAGACCAACACTGATGAGTGACTTGCTTAAAGTCACATGGTTAATTATTGTCAGGTCTCATAATCATTTCTGTTGTTAAGACAGGTATGCACTGTTACAGGCACATTTAAACCTTTTACTGTAGTTCCAAGTAGGAAATGCTTCCTTGTATTTAACATAAATCACTTCCTGTTGTTGGTTTTACTATGTTAACCATCATAGTGCATTTTCTAAAAGTTGCTTTATGTAGATTCCAGTGAGCAGCTACATAATTGTGAGCCCTTTGTTAAAAAAAAAAAAAAAAAAAAAAAGATCGAGATACATTTTGGTGACAGAAAGGGGTCCCTAAACCAAGTAGCTGATGTAGGACCAACAAAGCTGCATGCCCATGATACTATCTCTGAGAATCTCAGATGTTTTCCTGAGAAATTTTTCTTTATAAAGATTAGTGTATGTAACTACAGGCATAAATATTTACATGTGCCATGGATATTAATGCCTGTTACAAGTCAGGATCACTTTTCTCTGTTAGTGAATGTATATTGAGTAATTCTACTGACACTTTTTCAGAAATTTCTTGAGGATGCTAGAGATGCACACTGGGAAATGGGCAGTGTACCTGGGGCTCTAGAGTCTGGTGGGCAGGAACCAAGGTTCCTCTGAGTTCAAAGAATATCACTAGCTATTCAGGACCCACTTTATTCATGGATTCGGTGTTAAACATTCAGTTTGTAGGATACCTTACAATTAAAAACAAAGGTATCTAATGAAGTATATTTTCTTAGAATCTGAATGGAGGCTGCTTGTATCCACTTGACTTTCACAGCAATAAAAATCACTTCTGTGGTAATGCATGTGTGTTGTAGCAGGTAAATTGATTTCACTTCTGTGAGATGTTAGTAAATTTCTGTATCCTCAGTGAAACAATAATGTAATTTCATGTTTTTGTTTAAGTTTATAACTTACATAGCATTTCATTACACCTAGTATTTCTACAGAATTAAAATCCAATGTGTATATGAGTACTGTTATGGTGATAGAGTATACTACATACAGTATTTCCAGGCAAGCCTTCTTTATAAAAACATTAAATCCAAACAAAAATTATGTCCAAGTGATCCATTAAACCTGGCTGGCAACTTTTGTCCACAGACTTTTACATGTTTTATTTTGTAGCATGCATGAATATGGTAAAAATACCACACACAACATGTAATCTTTCATGTTTATATTTTCATTGTTAGTAATCTTTAGAAACTTTTCATGTGTTAATTGTTGTCCATGTATGTTTACTTTTAAGTCTTACATGTTTGTATTAGTTGTTTTAGAATGCAGAATTAAGTGTTTTTACAGGGATATCTAGCTTTCAGAAAGTAGGAGTTTTGAAAGTGATGCTATCCTGCCAGAGACTTTGAAACAGGTGTGCTCATTTGAGTAAGTTGAGTACTGCTGATGTAAACCTTTCAGTATGAAAAGTCAGTCAGGTTTTCTTTGCTTTGCTCTTCTCCCTCTTTTAGGAGGTAGGCAACAGTGCCACCGTGAGAACTGACAGGTTTTCAACCTTGTAACTGTTGGCTTCCTTAACTAGCCAAAGCCCTGCATTTAAAGAATATAGGACAAGCCCAAGCATTTAAGTAGACATTTCTGAAACTGAGCAATACAAGCAGTGTAATCAGCTTTAGTCTGATAGTGAAATTCATGTTATTCTTTAGTGACCCTTAGTAAGATACCTAAGTCTTGCCAAGTCATTCCGTATGGGTAACATGAGATTAACAACAGTTCATTTTCATCATTTTTAATGTGTTATAAGAAAGAGTGTCAGAGAAGAATATCAAAACATGAAAACATTTGGGTCTTCTCAGCCTGTGTTCATGCTCCCTAGTGTGCATTTTATGGCCAGTGTTTTTCAGTCTCCCTTTTATATTTTGTCTTTTAATAATGAGACTAAAAATAAACACACACACACACACATACCACCACCACCACCACCACCACCAACAACAACAACAACAACAAGAACAACAACAATTAAAGAAAAAGAGGCCATGAATTTGAAAGAAAGCAAGGGGTGTGGGGGCGGGGAGTACATGGAAGGGTTTGGAGGGAGGAAAAGGAATGGGGGAAATTTAATTATATTACAATCTCAATTTTTTAATTATTTAAAATAATAAACTGCTAAATTGATTATGGTTATAATGAGTTTAGACTCTGTTAAAACACTAAGTTTTTTTCCCATGTTCTGATGGCTACATGATACAGTATATTTATTTTTGAATGAAAAGAAATCCAGTGCCCATCATTCTGTTGGCATCAAACAGTTCTCTGATATGTTAATGCAGCATTGGGGGAGCACACACACAGGCTTTATTTGGATGCATTCCAAGTCTCAAGGAAAATTATATGTAAGGAACTGAATTTTCAGTGTTGTCCCCTTCCAATGCAAACTGATATTAACACAGTCTGCCATAAAAGGAAACCTTCATCCTGGGGCACAATATGAGCGTTTTTCAACATTTAGCAAGACTGTGGTGGATTTTTATTATCACCTGGTCATCTAGAATATAAAGATCCTGATTTAATTGCTAATGGAATTATGAAATAGTTTATTTTCAAATGTGCTCTACGGGAAAGATTAACTTAGTATTCTTGTAATTTTTTAAAGGACTTTTTTTTTTTTTGCCGTAGCAAGTGGGCACAATGAAGTAGGGGGCATCATTTTTTGCCTATATAAAAGGGCACTGGTGGTTTCCTTATAGCTTTGCCTTTTCAGCTGGTCCTCAGCCGGCCATAGGTGTGAATCATAAAGGCTAGTTCTTTCACTTTTTCAAATATAGTTTCTTTATATTTATTACCAAAAAATTAATTGGTTGAACTTTTCCAAATGTGGTTTTCAAATACAGTAAAGAACAGGTTTAAAATCTGACATGTTAAAAAGTGTATAAACTTCACACAGTTAAAATTGCCTGAAAGCTTTGTGGAAAAAGCTATTTAAGGGCACTATTTCTTCATGTGGGTAATTTAAAAATACTGTTTTCTAAGAAACCTACTGCACTTTTGTTTTGAAAAAAAAAATTTATATACAGAATATCCAGTGGGGCTGAGAACTTGCTTCTTGATATGCTACAGTAGTCTCCTAACAGACTTAATGGAGGAAAGTGGACGAAACTCTGTAGCTGTGACTTGCAGTTGTCCTAGCAGTTTCCCTGTCAGTCTGTGGCCCACTGTCTCCCACATAGCCTCTTGGTAGTCTCAGCTTCCCTGTGAGAGTCTGACTCTCCCTGGGGTAGTTTCATTCATTCAAAGGACAGGTTTGCCTCGTAATGTGCAGTGGATATGTGCTCATGAAACTTTTTAGAGAAATACCTTTACTTAATTTTTAATCAATTACGGTATTTCAAGTCACCAGTGTAGCTCAATAGTTGAAAGGAATTCTAGAGTGAAGGCATTTGCCTGAAGCAGAGCTGTCTTTTGTTTTTCCAGTTTTTTGTGGTTGATTTTAAAGACAAAGTTTTATGTGTCAGGCTGGCTTCCAACACCCTACCTTGCACTTTTGATCTCTGGCACCCACCTCCCAAGTGCCAGGTTTGCATTTCTCATCCCTCTGCCTCTGCCTCTGCCTCTGCCACTGCCTCACAAGTGCTGAGATTGTAAGCATGCAATACCATGCTCACTTTTTTGTGGTACCAGGGATGGAATCCGGTGTTTCTTGCATATTAGACACATACTATCAAGCTGAGCCACATACCCCTTAAGAATTGTCTTTTAATGGGTCTAATTATTTCACTATCTCTTCATTTCTTAAAACTGTAGCTTTTCTTGAAATGAAATTTGAGATAACTCATTTTATATAGATTTTTTTTAAAGTAGTTAGACATTATAGAAGTATAGTGGTCCATGGCTCTGTTAATCTGAAGTAGGGAGAAATGTAAGCTCTAAGATATTACTTCAAGTGAAATTCCTGGAGTAATTTCAGAATAGGCAATCATACTTTTTCAAAATTAGTAATGGGGAGATAAAGTTGATATTTTTCTGACTTACTGATTGTGAATGCTGGAATTTGACTTTAAGAAATATGAATTCTCAGTCGTTATTCTTTTAATATTTTAAACAGCATTTTAAGAAGCAAAAGAGGCTAATTCCTGAAAGAACTGTTTGGAAATACTTCGTTCAGCTCTGCAGTGCGCTGGATCACATGCATTCTCGAAGAGTCATGCATAGAGGTAAGGAAAGCACTAAGCAACTGTAGCATCTTATTAAATAATCTAAGCCATCAAGCAGTTTACAATAGCTTCCCTTTAACCCACTGCATTACCCTCTTTTGGATAATTTATGGCCAAATTATAGTTTATTTGGGTTATAAACCTATAAGTAAAGCCCTACTTGGTTATAAATAAGAATGAAAATTATGCTTTTGCTTGGTTTCTCTGAGTGTCTTGCTGTTTCTATTGTAAAGAAAGTTTGGCTGTGGGAACGCAGTTGAATGTGCATGAGGAAGAGGATTTGTTTTGTTTTTTTTTTTTGGTTTTTTGGTTTTTTTTTTTTTCAGATGAAAATTGTACTGTGGGTACACAGACTGTTTCAGTCTTCAGCCTTAGTCCTTAATGTATTCTTGATAATCATTCCAGTTGTTGGGCAGGGGCAGCCACTAAGTGCTGATCCACTGATTTGGAAGTACAAAACATTGTGAAGCAATGTTTTTAAGGAATGATGATTTCTGAAACCATCTAATAAATACAATTCGCGGTGTTGTTAAGCTTTGATCTTATAACTGATGTAAATTTATGAATTAATCTTCAGTAACATGTTGTTTAGAATTGCTATAAAGTGGGCTTAAATTTATTTTGTCTCTTAAATTTTCATAAATATTATTTGGAAATGGAAGACATAAGTATTTGACATGGGTATTAGCAGTCTTCATCAGGGTGTGTTGAGGTTTCTCGTAGGACTGGAAAATTTGAAATATATGAAAAGTATTCAAAATATAGTGACTGCTTCAAAGTTCAGACTTGAATATTTAATATACATTTTTAATTCTTCCAAATATAAAATTTCCTTCCAAATTCCTGAAGTTACATTATCTTTCATCCAATCCCTTCATTTATTCACAGATATAAAACCAGCTAATGTGTTCATTACAGCCACTGGGGTGGTGAAACTTGGAGATCTTGGACTTGGTCGGTTTTTCAGTTCAAAAACCACAGCTGCACATTCTTTAGGTAAGAGACACAATACGATTTCAGTCACTTACTGTGTGTGTGTGTGTGTGTGTGTGTGTGTGTGTGTGTGTGTGTGGGATATTTATGTGTATGTACATGTATGTATGTGTGTGTATGTATGTGTGTGTATGTATGTGTGTTTTTGTGCTGGTGTGTGGGTGTGGATATGTGTTGGTCATGGTTTAAAACAGTTATGGCAGCTGTACAGCACTGCCTGCATTCTTTATAAAACTGTTGTGGAAACCAGCCACCCTGATAGGTGCCCACAGTTCCCTGATACCTTTTAGGCGATGCTTGGATACTCCTGTTTGTTTGACCTCAAGCAGGCCCTGAGGTTTTTGTTGTTTGTGATGGCTTTTTTAAATAATGCTGATAAGCCTGGCTTTTACTGTTGCCATGGAGAGAGCACCTTGTGTCTTATTTGTGATGGTTGTAAGATAACTTAATGAAGAGACTGTAGTTTGGAAGAAGACTTCACTGAACATTTTTAAATGCCAGAGGTAATAATAATTCATACATGTTTATTTATTCAAAGGACATGTGACTGTGATAACCAGGAGAGAAAAACCTAAAGATAATCTATAGTGAATGAGAGGAAAAACCAATTCTCCCTTTCCAGAGTGGAAGACATACTCTGCAGTTGATCAGATTAGAGTCAACATTATTTTGATGTCCTTTGTACCTAAAATAGAATTGGTGTATCTGCAACATTGGATTAGCAATGGGAAGAAAATTGTTTGGATCAGAAACGATAGAAATTCCTAGAAAAAATGCTTTTTAAATTAAGTTATAAGTCAAGTGTCTCAGGCTCTTCTTATGCATGTAAGACACAGGAAATGGTGGATTCTGGAAAAAGAACTAAAGCAAGAGTAAATTGCCTTAATTTAATTTTTCCTGTTTTTGCTGTCATGATTTCCTTGGAAGCCACTAATTCTTTGACAGCAATATTTAGATGTGATATGAGAAGCTAAAATGGGCCAGTGAGGAACAGTAACTCCGTAACCAGTGCAACAAGCATCCAGATTACCAACTGGTTAGATAGACTTTTGCAGGCTTTTGTTTCTGGCTTTGTTCCTAAGACTCTGTGTGCCTTCGAATGGACCATTTGTTAATAGTTTGTGCCTCGAACAGAGTGCAGTGTGGTAGAAATGCTGACACTTCCCCGAATTTTGGCTTTATCAGCTATGGAGCACCTAAGTTTCCACACGATGCACTGTTACGTTTTCCTTTTCACATCATATTTCTGGTCACACTTACGGTCATATAACTTCACTGCCCTTTCCAGGTACAGAGATTTGATATGAAATTTCATAATAAATCAACAAATCTGCATAGCACCTTGATAAAGTTTTGTTTGAGAAATTACAATTCTTGCAGTAGATGTGGTTGACGATATCTAGGAAGAAGCTTTGGCACTTATACCACTAGTAAAGGCACTGTCCCTCGATGCTCTTCACCTGATTGGCGTGTCATAACAACACCCTGTCATTAACTCACTTGAAACACTAGTTTATAATTGCATGTACATGCACACAAATTGCACAAGCCTGTGCACACATGTGTATTGTCTAGTGTTGTTTTACAGCCACTCATGAGTAGGCTGTAGTTATCCATCTAGCCTTACTGACCTAATACATAACCTGGAATCCAAATTTGGACAATTTGAAATGGTTACTACTACTACTACTACTACTACTACTACTACTACTACTACTGGTTACTACTTTTTGTAAAGGTCCCACATAGGGATTGCAAGCATATATACAGACTTGCGTGATTTGCCAGTCTAAATTACTTGATATGGAGAATATAATGAATTTTAATAGATTTAAGAATTCAGTAGGGATTTATCAAATCGGCTCAAATCAGTTATGTGCACACATGCTGATGCCACGATTACTGACTATGAAACACTTCCAAACTGCAACCAGTGACGAGGAGAAACAAGGCTCTGTTGTGGTGAAACCGAAATGAACAGTTTTCAGGAGTTTGGTTTTTCATTCTGAGAAAAAAAAAAAAGTCTTTATTTTATTCTTACTGGCCTGTTGTACACAGTGAAGATTCTGGTGGTTGTGAAATTCATGTTTTCTAAGCAAAGTGCACTGTTATGGGTTAAAATTTGCTCGTTGGACCTCATAATAAATCATACGTATCAAGGAAATGTCTCTGCTAACAAAAACTATGTAGAATATAGCAAGAATAGAGATGCTGACACACTTTCTTGTTGGCAGATTGGCCCTATTTTCTTACTTCTAGAGAATTATCACTCTGTGTTATACATATTTATTGTTAGAAGCAGATTTGTTTGCCTCTAATAGTTGAGGATGAAGAGCAATTGAAAACATGGCCACCCATACAAATTGATTTTGATTATAAAAATATGGTAGAGTTACCTTATATATTGTATATTGATGCATTTTCTGGTTTTACTGATAGTAAAGTCTGTGATGTGGTTCATGCTTACAATATGCCTACATTTTAGTGAAACAAAAGTAGGTAAATAAGATGCTTAATGCAATTCATAATGGAGAATCTTCAAAAACAAATGGAAGCCTAGGACTAGCCAGTTGGCAGAGTGCTTGTCCAGCACATACTGTGACTGGGATTCTATTCCCAGCGCCACCATATAAACTGTGCCCGGTGCATGCTCGTAATCCCAAGATGTGGGAAGTGAAAGCAGGAGAATGGGAAATTAACTTCTAACTTTACACTCTCATCATTGACTCCTCTGTCCTTCTTTATTAAGTGTATGTCTCCCACTCCACTTTGTTCTGAACATGAGAAACAGTGCAGTATCCTAGATAGTCCTGGGTTTGTGTGATCACAACCCTGGAGCCCCTCTATCCATTTGTTAACTTCTGGAACTCATGCTCTAGATTTACAACCTGAAGGTCCAGAACCAAAGCTCTGGACTCAGCAGCACTCAGGTTGCAGGGGGTGGGGTGGGGTGGTGGTGGTGGTGGTGACCTTATTAATGGTACCAGTTGTGCAGCTTGAGCATCCAGAACCGTGGCTGCAGGGATGGCATGTGTTTCCACACTGGGGGCAAGGGCTGCCAGAAACACCTCCGTTTCATTACTGGTCTGATTTTGAATTCATTTTTGGTTGTGCTTTTAGAAACCTTTTACTGTGGCCCAAGTTTTCTTGGCTCTGACGTTTAACTGAGTGACCCCCATATAGGGCTGCCACCATATTTTAGAGAATTGGACAAGTCTTCATCTTTAGGGCACTTATCCAAAGCACAGGAAGCATCAAGATGGCTTGATATGTGGAGAAGAAGGCGAGGCATGTTTAACAAGGGTGAAGTGGGGCGAGCCTGTCTGGGGAGGTAAACTGTCAGTCAAAAGATCAGAGATGGGCTATTGTAATAGAACCTGGACAGTAACTTCTCAGGCTCACAAGCTGGTGCAAGATGAGCTCCAGGTTTGCTGGAGAAGGGGAAAGGAAGGATAGGGCCAGATTTAGGAAGCATTTACATTGTATTCCTACTCTATTGCCCAGGCAAGTTTTTACAAGATTTTAACGAAAAGAACAGCATGCTCTGAGTTGAAGATAGCAGCCATGAGAGTCCTTCATCGGCTTCGGGTCAAGCATGTCTGGAGTTGTCTTCTCTGATGACTTTGATTCTTCTCTGTGTCAGGAGTACTCCTCTTTCCCTTTCTAAGCATCTATAGACTAGGAAAGTGGTTGATTGCTTCTCCGATCTGTGATGTGGACTGTTCTCCTGGTTCTATCTCCTTTTACATCCCCTCTATTTCCTGTGTGAATTTAGGATTTTCATTCTATGCTTTGCTACTGATAGGGATAAGGCTATGCATCTAGGGAGACTGGTTGTGGAACATACTTATCCCTATGAGGTTTGCCTTGTTTTCTTTCATATTGTTTGTCAAATTCACTGATGTAACAGATGTTGGGAAACCTATGATCTACCCACATCTTTAAAAATTTATGGGTAAGACACAACTCTCTCTTGACCCAGCTTTCTGACTGACTAGGTCAGTGTTTTTCAGATTTCTTAACCCCGAACAAAATTGTGACCTCACGGGATCATAATCAAGTATACTGAAGCAGAAGTTGCATGGAGCCACGTTCTCTATTACAAAGAGTAGAGTATTCTGACCTTGTATTTTATTTCAATGAAAACAATGTTGATTGTAAGTAAACTGGTGAGTTGATTACGCAACACATTGAGGAGTTGTCTGGCCTGTGTCCTGGTTCCAATTTTTCCACTTGGAGGCATTCTCCTGACATAGTCTGATCTGTTTAATTGTGAAACATAAATTAGCCCTGTATGGTACTTCCTGTTCTGCTGCCAGTAGGTAATAACATGAGTAGGGTTTTTCTAAGTCTGCCAGTCCTCAACTTAGGAGTGCATATGTCCTGGTGTTGAAGAAAGCATAGAGAGGTAGGCGGGGCTGGGCTGAAGATTGTGTCTAGGTCTTCGGCTTCTTAGTGTGGAGTGATTCTCAAAGAGATTTAATTGCCAGTCATAACAGTTCTTAGTGGCATGTTTCTGGCCTTCTGTTCAATCTGAGATTGCCGAATCTGCTGTGACCTTGCCTGTGAGCAGTCTGCTATGAAACACAGTTTGCTTTCTCTTGCTCTGGAGTATTTTTGCTGTGTCTGGGTTTACGAAAAATTAATATAAAGCCAGGATCTGGGGCTGTGGGACATTTGAAATCTCTCTTCATGACTATCTTCTCCACCATCAAATTCAGTGATAGACACCTGAGAAATGGGCACTGAATAGGGCTTAGGGACAGGTTTTGCATAAAAGGGTAACTAAATGTGTTATTGGGAGAAGATTATGTTGAAGAATGAAATATATCTTTGCATCAAAGCATTTTGTATCTCTTGTCACCCAGAGTCGTTTGCAGCCTGCCCTTGGTCTTCAGTGTACCGGCCACCCTCCTCTCAGTAACAGCATTTCAGGCAGCCTTGGTCCTGTATTGTCTTCAGTTCAACATTTGGTTTGGGGATTGCATGAGGGAGAGAGAGCA